ACCGATGGCAAGGAGAGCAATATTTCTACTACATAAATCATTGCAAGAAAACTAAAGTGTAGTGGGGGCGTGTGGCGCAGTGATTAGTGCCCCTTTCAATACAAATTTTTTCGGTTTTTGATTTCTCACTCACTCGCACCACATGCTAAAAAATCCTCTGTGCTTCCTGAAACGTCAGATTGGTAGCAAACTAGTAAAGGGATCTTCGTAGATGGACTGGTATCTGGAAATTACTTTTTAGGCCAGATATGGATTCAGTCACCTCTCAAATGATTAATGGACTCGATGCATGGCGCATCTCTGAGGGAATATGTCAATACCAGGCACTTTATCATTCACCTTTTTAAGAATTCTAATATTGGAACGGTACAATAATATGTTGATCACTTATGAAAAGATACATTTAGAAGGATTTGAACCATAGGATATTGAGAAGCAGAAAGGCTTAAAAACGCTGCGTGAAAATGAAGACTCTGCGTAAGGCTTTGTTTAGAACATTAACGGCGAAACATACTGTCTTAACTCTTTTATTTACTGCCTTTTTCTTCTTAATGGCAGGGTATGCTGCGAAATATAACTCAGCATTATGCAAATATCTCAGCATTTCATACGAAAAACCATCCGGGTCGGTGTAGTGGTGAAGTGCGCTGCTCCCCGGTAAGGACAACATCGCGTGTTCGTTCTCCATTGCATACACCTGTGGTCCGGAGTTTTGCAAATATCTCAGCATTTCATACGAAACATACTGTATTTGTAAGATGCCAGTTAAAAACAGAAATCTGAATACTGTAATGGTACTGTGGAGCTTATTGAGCAGATTTACGTTCAGAGTGAAGTCGCTGATTAGAGGCCGTGGAACAGCACGAATGGGCGAAGACTTGCCCAGAGATGTTCTTTTTATCCACTTTTTGAAGGAACGCCTATTAAGATGGAGAAACCAGAAGTTTTAAGCGCAGGAATGTTGATGAGGAAGAAAAAACGAAGACGACATGCTTTGCTTCTGCCAAATGAAAAGTTAACTAGTTAGTCGGGTGAATATTACTGAATAACTCATTCTACCAGTTGTGCGAACATAGTGTTTGAAAAAGACAACCTTCAGAAAGATGTTGTGTGCATCTAGGGGCATAGAAAACAGTAAATGACTAGTTTAAGTAAATTACCAAAACGATAGAGAGAGAGGGGGAAGAGAGGAGGGAGAGAGAGGGGGAAGAGAGAGGGAGAGAGGGAGGGAGGGAGGGAGGGAGAAAGAGAGGGAGGGAGAAGGAGAGAGAGAGAGAGAGAAAGTACTAGCAGAACTTCATCAAAAATCGTTGTAGCAAAAAAATTAACGAAATCCCAATTACTTTGGTAATGAATGAGTACCAAACCGACTGATCACAACATAAATGACTGCAAATTAATCACGGCACTGGAAGCAAAATTGCAAAAGCACAGCAATCACAGGGATTCGCGATAGGAAGGAGCTAACAGAGTGCCCGAAACGCCGATATTGTTCAACTTCAGCTACTGCTGTGCAACGTGACACCAAATATTCATAAAGATATTCATAGGACGTGCGAAAGTCGATTAATCAAGTTTTGATGGCGTGGTTGTCTTGTGAACGACCATTTTGTGTTTGGTTTCATGAGAAGAGATCTCGAACAAAAATCTTTATGGAAGACTTTGATGACAGGCTCCCCAACGAACATCTGGCATCAATGTCGATGTTAATGTTAATCGCGGTAGGAAAACGAGTCGACCAGATGAAGTTTTTTCACTTTTTATGAAGAAATTAAATCCTATGATGTAACGTGGGAAGATGGCACTCTAAGAAGATGGGATCTAGGTATTGAATTAGAATTGATAGAGATCGTTTTAAACATTGGAAGACAAGGAAAAAATGTTTTGAGAAATGGCCATTCAAAACGCCTGAGGAGGCTGACGAAATTCAGGATAAGCTTTTGCAAGCTCCAAGAAGTTGGCCGCATGTCCTCACGCGCCATGTTTTGAGATGGATTGAGATCAGGACAGCGATAGCTTCAACAGACTCGCCAGGCATTCTGGACGGATGCAGCCCTCGTTTAAGCCTTCTGGATACCTCAAGTATTTTAGATAGCGGTGACCCACATCTAAATTCACATTTCATATCTAATGCAAGTTTGTTTCGCTTGTCAACTTAATACCGCTGAGGTCACACAACTGGAATAACGGAGAACAACCCACGGGAGCGATCCTTCAAATCGGCTTTGCACGCCGTAACCACCCTCCTCCTCCGGGATCCGCCAGTACGCTAGTGTTTGACGGAAAACCTCCACAAAAAAACGCTAAAATTTAATCATAGTACGTTAAAAAATTTGGAAATAGTGGTGATTTAGATGTTCTTCCACAGGAATTTATAGGGTTTACACAACCACTTTTTAAAATCCTCTAGGATTCCACTTTAAGGCATTGCCTACGGCTTTGCCCCTAAAGTACAAAGTTAGTTGGTCGCATCGATTTGACCTTAGAAGCGTCCAAAAAGCCTGTAAGAACAGTTTGAAGTCGGTGCCTCAGGGTAAATGGATATTCTGAGGTTAGTGCAATGAATCGTTACGAATTCGACTGCCTGAACTGCAGTGGGACTTAATTTCAATAACTTTTTTCTGTTTAGTGCTGAGCCTTTGAATTTAATAACCATCAGTAATTCTTCGTTAAGGGTTATAATTGCAGTAAAAAAACAATTTGTCCATCATCTCACGGGTTTCAGGCCATTTGACGTCAAATTTTCAAACACCGAAAGCAAGAAGCTTTCCAATCAAGTTTTTAGATTGCTTAACACCAAAACAAAAAATAATTGGACTCTTGAAGGTGTGACTCCCTCACAATTGCAAGAACACGACGAATTAATCAAATTGTTCCGTATGAAGAGTAGTGCTCAATGTCTGGAACGCAAATTCGGCCCACTATCGAAGATTGACGGTTTCAGACAGCGTGTGTTGCCTAGTCGCAATTCATAGTGCTTCACTCTCATGCAGAATTATGCATATTAACAGGCGATACGACTTCGCAGAGAAAGCCAAGGCCTGGCTAAGGACAAACTGCTATAATGAAGATTCTTTCTTTTAGTGAGAAGCCAGGAAAAAACTTCTAGTGAGCGCAGAGCAGGTCTTATGGCGAAGGATTTTCGTCAACTTCTTCGCAGTTAGAATTCTAACATATGTGTACTGAATCTTGCAAAACTATTTTTAACGAACCAAAGTGAATGGCAAATTTATGTTCGTAATGGAAATGCTGTTTTAATTATTACATGTGATATCCACTATCACTCAATGATGAACATGACAATGGGGTGTTCTTAGGTGCCGAACTACTGTGTTCAGCGGGAATTAGGATCTTCCTAGCCTAGAAAAAAGCCAGACACTTTTTTCTGCAACCTCATTTTACGAGCAAACCACTTCTGGAAACTGTTATCATCTTGAGAACAACATACTCATTAGCTGACAAATGGAGAACACCTGTAAAAATCTAGCGCGCCTTCGTGATACCAGGAAAGAAAACCTGGCCCAATCAGCAAACTACTTTTAACTTCAAACGTTCGCACGATTCCGAGCAATTCATGAAAAGGGACCACTCACCTATCAAGTATTCATGAAGTGATATTCAGAATAGAGTGGTAGGCCCATTAAAACACAAAGATTGTCGGATAGCAGAGAGTAACACAATGGAGATGGAATAAAAATAGAAATGGCAACCGGACATGATAGATTGCGAAGGTACAGTAATTTTATGAATAAAGAATTGAGCATGAAGTTATTCAAGCATTTCTGACCCGTTTCGAATCGACGACCGACGAAAGATCTTAGGTGGCGATATAGTTCGCTTAAATGTGCTAGCCCAGTTGATGTCAGGGCCAAGTACGAGTCTGAGTCATATAAAGAGGCCATTTAAGAATTACGGTGTAAGTTATTCTCCTGATGAGAAGCTTTTTGCATATTATTGTTCATAACTGACGGAATAAGAAGAACAACAATAACCCAAAAAATAAGTCACTGCCTTCCTGAGTTGTTATTATAATATTCGAAGCGAAGCTCTGGTCTTCGAAATATGTTGCATCTTCGGGATCCAGGAAATATGCATCGATAGGAAAGCATGTATGGGCCGGTCACATAACGAGAAGAACAGACGACAGATGGATGAGCAGACCTGTGGAGTGGAGTCGACGTTCCATAGCACGGCTACCTACAGGTTGAGCGGGCGTGTTCGTAAAAAATGCTCATCAGCTGTACCCACAGGTGCAGTTATTTTATAGATCACGGTATGAGGCTCGCACGCGCTACCATGCTCGAACGAAACAACAGCCATGAACGACGAACGCGAGGTAAAGAAATAAATGGCAAGTGTGCTGGGGTTCGCACATCTCGTGAGGATGGACCATCCAAGTATCCATGTAAGTATTATAATATCTATTTCAGACCAGCTAAGGTTTCGGAGGTTTCGCTTTTGCTAACGTTAATAGGGAGGCGGTTTTGGAAAAACTAACAAAGCACTACTTGACCGAATACCGGATGGAAATGAGAAAAATTGGCATGAATACTTGGAATGATGCGGAGAAAAGTAATTATCGTAATGCCTCTGGCGTTGCAAGCATGAGTCAGATGTGTTACAGATTCGAATGATAATCGAATAATTCAAAGGTTGCAAGGACACAAAATCACTTAGCCGGTAAAGCAATGAAAGAGGAAATATGAACAAGGCATGAATTTGGAAAATAACTTAGAACCTCTAGAACCTGCGATTCAGCGACTTATCAGCCCTAGTTCCGTAGGAGTTGCGGCTCGATACCGAGACATATCGATGCACACTAATATAAACACATCTACACAGATATGTCTACGTATGAATACACATACACGTGTATGCACGTTTACGTGTATATATATATATATATGTGTATGTACGTAGACAAAAAACCAGGAAAAGCAACAGATGAGCCGACGAATGGCTCTCACATAACTAATCGCCGTCATCACAATGAGTAGAGCTCACGTGTACGACGACGGCTGAAGGATTGTGTATTCGAAGAAGTTGAAGGATCCAACGGGGTTGGGGGCAGCGGTTGCCGCCACTCCCGGACGGCGCCAGTCAGTGAGTGAAATGCACGGCCAGCTCTCCTCTCCTGGAGACGACATACCCGCCCACGGCAGAGTTCCACTTCCGCTTAGTGCACCATCCTGCGGACAAACGTCGTGCTTCATTGAACAGTCTCCCATCTTCACTTATGTGATTATTACGTGAACTTAACAATTGGACTAAAACCAGTAAATCATGCATAGGTCACAGGTGGCTTTGTCGTACAGGGATCAAAAAACCGGTTAGTTTGGATTTCATTTTTAAATCTGACGCCTCTGCATTTTCGTGTACTATGTCGCAACACATTATCCACTCCACAATTTTATGCATATATTTTTGCTTTTAATACTGAATTATGTCCATTTTGGACCACTGTAGTCAAGACAGAAACCTTGGGAAATTAAACCCATGCCTTTCCAAACGAGTTCAAAGTAGGACATATAGCCGCGGAAAAGTTGCAATTCGGACCTATCGGGCTACAGCAAGATAAACGCACGACAACACTGTGGAAGTGGAAAGAATTGAAATACGAAACATCCTATCTCACCTGCTATGAAAATATATATCTTGCTGGAGAAAAGGAATACATGAATTCAAGTCGTATTCATTTCTACTATTTCACAAACTTTACTATAAGCTCGATGGAAAAAAAAATGAGTTTTGAGAAGCATGAAGTAGTCGGAAAGGAATAGATATAGAAGGGCTTGAACCGATAGAGCATTCGCGGTTACAATCCTCAATTTTACTGTACAAAGGATAAAGCTTACAAAGCCTATAAAGCATAAAGCGTGGTCGTTGGTTCGACCTGGCGCCCAAGGCTCGCCATGCCTTTCCTCCCATCACGATCTGCAAATGGGGGTACCACAGCCATCTGCAAGAATAGGAACAGCGGCTTCATCGGTAGGCTTGTAGAAATCGTGCAGGTTAGATATGCATTGAATCACCTCTGACGATGACTAAAGAAGTATGCATGAGGTGTTCCTCAAAGATAGGTCAACGCAGAAAGCTTTATCTTTTATAAACTTTACTACCGGCTAAGATATGTTTATGTGGAATCTGGGGCTAAATAAGGGTAATTTTGAATAGTGTACGGTTATTTAAGAACTGAAGTTGACATCATAAACTGTAAAAGAATTAGTAAAGAACAGAGCTGAACAATTAAGTAGCGATATTTTAACGTAGCTCTTTCAGTGTTTCCGTAATTTCGAGTATAAAATGTAGTTGAGGTCGACACAATGACTCACAGAGCCGGAACAATGGATGTCTTTTTGTCACATTCATAGACAAATTTGTGGCAAGTTCGTTGGCCTAAAAGAAGACCAGAGCTTAGCTTGGTTTGCTGGGAAGTTAATTTCCGGACAATCTAGCTTCCTTCGACGCATCAAGCATGTTGTTTGGAGAGTATGAAGAAATAGCAATGTGTCTCATTAAAGTTGGTTAATCTTATTCCACTGAGTGAGTCTGGGTCCACTCCCTGCTATCTGCACCGTGAATATATTGTGGATGAAGGTGGGAGGGGCTAGGGTTCTCATTTATAACAAAAAGAAGATGTAAATGTTCCAAAAATGTAAAGTACTTATTGGAATTGAAAATACCCTGAGTATACTAAACATTAAGATGAGTGAAGAAGCACATAGACAAGCTTAATTATGGAATAAGAACCACATAAATGAGGCTGTAATTTTGAGGTGCATTACGTATTGAGTACAATGCATACTGTAAATACAAATGCGTCAGTGGTCGTCGACTTTTGGAATTTCGTGCAATCATAACTTCGGTGAGATTCGTCTCCAATGAGAATCAGTTGCCTTGAGAACGAATGACGACTTTTGCTTGCAATCGATTCGTCGTCGATTGTTTACTTTTCACGAGGATGATCAAGTACTGCAGTCTCGGCTTTGCTTGCTACGTACATCGTATCGTAACAATCGCGAAAAATTCCAAGTCTCCGAAAGTCGTCAGGAAGACCTACTAACACCGAGGACTCTTAAATCCCAGCTACGATGGGACTCAGTGAAAACCTCTATCCTAGGAAACCCGTTTTCCCCTAAATCTTATCAGTATCTTATCATTCTTATCAGTTGGGATTCCTTCTTTGAAACAACATCTTGAAACTTTGAAACTGAAACAGCAACCAAAACTTCTAATCTTTCGCTCTGATGCTTAATAGGTTTGTCTATTTTGTAGCCCTTAAATTAGTTACCGACGGGAGAAACGGATCGTAGTTCGAGTTTTCAATCGATAATTATCTCAAGCTGAGCACTTGCTGGTTCCAATTCTCACAACTTCTCGGACTTTTAAGGTCTTTTTTCACCGAGTTTCGGACTTAATGATACCAAAAATGGAACGGAAAACGTTGGGGCATCCGGTTCACTCTTCCATCTATCGCTTTGTCTATCCAGTAAACGAAAACTATCATGGCCTTCACAAATGAATTCTCATCGATGTCTATAAAGAAAAACTTTCCCCATCGAAATAAACATAGGAATGGTGGCATTATTAGAATACAAAAAATGATGAAAGATAAGAGCGGTAAACGAAGCATACGTGCGACTATTCAGAGAAATTGAAAGGGAATCAATCCCTAAGGAAAGAGAACGACTTCTAAGTGACGAACAATGATGTTATTGGGAAAAGTGCAAAGCTGCACAGCAACAGACATGATGCTGTCGGAGTATAACGGAGTACCTATTGAAAAAACATCTTCAGGCATCTTGTATAATTTGGTACTTCTAAAGATCAAGTTATTTCTCTCTAGAAGAGATCTGGATTAAAATTTTAGAACAGAAACTAAGTGTTTAATGGCTTAACCAGTAAATCTCCGAAAAATGGAGATTGTGCTGGGGCCGGCACCATCAGTGATGACGGGCCATCCAGGTATCAAGTAACTAAACTGTTTGCAGTCCTAAAGTTAGGAACGAAATGAAATAAATGATATTGTTAGTTCCAAGTAATAATTCACTCTAGTCATCAAAAAAATATTCTAGTGATGTTATTGATTATTCTTGTTTATTTATTCACCTATTTTATTTATTGTTTAGGCCATAAAACTAATATATCAGGGCTACTGAAGAAAGGAGAACAAGGTGGAACGTTAGAAGAAGAAAATACTTCATTAAAAGGAAGAAGTCACGTTGAGAAATGTTATGGCGCTTTCCCGAGTAGTCGACGAAAACATCGAGCGTAACAGCTCTAAAATTGCTGGGATAGAAACATTTGAGAACTAGTGAGGACATCAGCAAGTAATTCAAAGTGCGTCGAGTCGATGAACAAAGATCGGAACTGCATTCAGGACTTAATGGTGTAGACAATTTTATGAGTTCTTCAACATTTCAACGTTCAGCAATGAGGAAGAAAACAACTAGGAACATAGTCCATTTGGTGAAGAAATCTTGATTCAAAGAAGTCTTGCTAAACGAATAATAAGAAATGTGAAAATAATAAATGATAAAGTTCTCGGCGTTGAGCAAGCCCTGAGGGACGCGCCATGTGTTGGGCTTCACTAAGCATCGTTGGTGGTGATTAAATGTCTATCTGGCCTCTACAATGACTCGTGGTGGCCTACCGATGTATCAAGCCAACGTTGCTATCCTCCCAGACAAGTCTGGCACCAATTTGCCGACCCGGGAGGGAAGGCTTGTTGAGTCTAGGGCGCGGGGATCGATTCCATGTATATTGCAGAGCACCTCCGACCACTGCATTACACGCGCCAATAAAAACGTAGCGTATTAAAGCCATTGAAGATTAATATTACTATTAAAATAAAAAAAAGCGAAGTGTTAAAATGATCCATGCGGTCAGTCTGATGGTATAGTCATTCATAAAAAAATCATGAACGTCAGACATGGTGGCAAAGATGGCGAAGACGCCTTCAATTACGACCACAAATCCTCAACGAAATGCGCTCAGAAAAGTGCTCAGAGAGCAGAAGCGGCTTCCAGTTATCGAGCTACCGTAGCGAGTCATGGATTTCGTTCAGCTAAAACCGAAAACAAGACCAGAACTCAATTTGCGCTCTCTTCGTCTGCTTCGATGTCTTTTTCTACACAGGGAGAGACTCGTAAACTCATCAGCAGTAAGAGTCGTTGCCAAACTCAGCGAAAAGAAGAAACTAGAAAGATGAACTGTAGCCAGAAGTGGATTTAATGAGGTCTTAACTAGGATTGTCTTTGTATAAGCAGTGATACGGAAAAAGATTTTAGTCATTTCGAACGGACCAAATGTAAAACGAAGCAAATCTATCAACTACGGAGTTGAACGAAACCAAGAAAAGGTTGGAAGAACGATGACGGCAATATTAAACAGAAAACTACATCCAACCACAGGTGTGGTTCTTTTCTTAGTTAGCAGACATCTCCAATCTTTTAATCAATTATGAGGAAAAGCAAAGGTCAAAATAAATATGAAGGTGTCGGAAAGATCGCGAAACTTGTTCAAAATGAGCAGTGGAGAAGCCTGAACACTAAGAACTTGACACTTTTAAAGTGCTAACGTTTGACGCATATAGATGTCTCCATATCAGTTTTCACTATTATTTCGTATTATTACATGACAAGTCATCAAATCTGGTGTGTAGAATTCAGCATTTCCTACATTCGAGTGGTTTTTCTCGCATTTATTGTCCACAGAGGTCTCCGAACATTTCGCGTGTTGTTTCGGCTGCTGTTTGAGGATTTCGCCTTCCCTATAAATGCCGTAGAATTCTAGTCGAGGCGATTCCCTTTGCAATCTTGGAGATAGCCGAGTCAAGGCATTTCCACGTGGAATGGAGGACAGTGTTTGGGAAAGGGTGGAACCAGCACCTTGCTTACTGATGGACTGCATCACCATCCACTCCGCTATCAATCCCCTCCCTATGTTAGTTATTACTAAACATAATGTCATTCAGATAACTTGTAGCTCTATTTAGTTTGATGACGAAACTTATATAAAGAATTTTTAATCATCCATTCCGCACTTTCAGACAGTCGAAGAATGCAAAATTTTTACCGGAATTCTTCTGTTCTTCAGGTTTTCCTGGAAAACAAGGAGTATCTCATCGACATCTAAAAGGCAATTCGCTAGCAGACCTGTTATTACGAAATGGAACGTATTAGGAGCATCCGAAATTTACGCAGCACATCCT